TGAAAAGTTTTAAAAGTTTTACTATATTATGTGAAATATGAATGCAATAATTGAAATTTATGAAATTAATATAAGTTGGCTATGATTTGAAATAAAATAAATGATATTTCTATCTCACTTAAGTTGTCATAGTATTCATTTATTCCTTTTTGCTGTTTAAATTTTTACAATTTGACGGAATTCATATTCTCTCTGAAACTATCAATGTGAGGGAAAGTGATTCACTAGTAATTGTACAATGTGTTTCAAATCATTTTTGAATGGAAAATTTCTTTTTTCACGATTATTTTTCTTATTACGAAACATTTTAATGTAAACTTTGTTTGAAATAAATTTTGTTAAAGAACGATAGTTTCAATATTATGCAGCAAATGCTTTGGCGCACAGTTTAAACAACAAAGCTTTCATTCTCAGTTTTTTTTTTTTTTTTTTTTGTTAGCAATTACTTTGATCTGTTCTAAATTTACAGTAACGCTACCATGGAAAAGAAAATAAATGCTTACTTATGATTAAGCAAATTCAAACTCTTTTAACAAACATTTAAAATCTTTTCAATTTCATTTTATGATGAATCACTACATAATTTCAAGAGTTAAATTCTCTCATAATTATTTCTAAATATGTAATGTTTAGTAAATTATTTATGAATAAATGATTACAAAATCTTTTTTTTGTACTATCAGTAACAGAAGCAATCAATGGACAAATAAGCATTACTTTTAGGTGATAAATAATCGTTAAGAATGAAAGTGAAAAAATTTTCTTTTTTTGTGTTTTATAATATACTAATGGAATAATATTATCGAAAAGAAAGTTTTAAAAGTGACTTTCATATTTTACGTTTTTTTTTTTCTTTTAAAAAACTAACAAATCATAACGAAGAGAAAATCTACGAGAGAGAGAGAGAGAGAGAGAGAGAGGTTGAGAGAAAAGGATTGTTCATATAAATTGTTTATTTCTTTGGATTATCGGATAGTTATGTTGCACAGCTTTTAAAATTACGCATTATTTTACGTTTTATGTTTATTGGTTCATTTATGCCATTTTTTATTCAAATAAAACACTTAGATCTTATTTTATTTTCTCTCTTCTTTTTTATAAAATATCTTCTTTTAACGAACAAATTTTTATTAATTTTTATTTTTTGCATAATTTTTTCCAGTGTTAAAGTTTATTTGAAATTATAATAAATATAAACAAATAAATGAATGAATAAGCAAGTAAATGAATAAATAAATATGTAGCCAATTTACAAGTGTTCTCTTGGTATTTTCAAAAATTAAAATAACGGTGAAGGCGCATTTATTCCAGCAGATGTCCTGTTGGAATCGAACAGAATTGTTGCTATTCTCTGATGCTTTACTTTTCGGTTACTATTTCTTTTTTTTTTTTTTGAAGCATATCTTATCAATTTTTTGACTCAGAATGCGCCAATAATCCATCATATCAAATCATAAGCAAATACAATCAAAGGATCCGTTAAATATGTTATCTTGACAGCTTATGATGTTTCAAGGCTTGATAATTTCATTTCTTACCTCTGTAAATACCTGTCCAATGCACAGAATTTATACAATCAATTGATATTAAATCATAAAATGAAAAAAAAACGAAAAGAGTTATATAAAAAATTAACAGATAGGAAGTGAAGAAAAAGTGAAAATATGAGAATAAAGAAAGAAAAATCAGTCTTATTAAATTATTAGATCTTAAACAACAGTCAACTTTTCATCATTGATAATAGATTGATCAAAATGAATGGAATTGATAGACGGTGGATGTTTGCTAACATACCGCCAGATCTATGTATAACTATGTATGAATTTTGATAAGCAGCTTAATCATTTCAATAGAGATTCATTCAAAAGTAGGGGAAGAATTAATTATTATTACTTCACACTTTTAATCTTTTTTTTTTTAATTTCTCACAAATTTCATAGTCAACAAGTAACGTTCAAATTACACGGCAATGAAAATGTGTTAATATTTCAAAACATCTTTTAATTACTTGCAAATTGAATATTAATTTCAACAGCATTAATGCGGCGCATTTGGTCTAATAATTCGGTGCACTATTCTATTTATGAATAAAAGTTATTTACAGATATTTCGAAGTTGATTTTCGTCTAATGAAATCTCACATATACTCGCTACTTGCACTATTTATCGTTATTGCTGATGGTAAGTAATCTTTTGATGAATTTCATTCCATAAGTTGTGCTAATTAGAAATTAGCCAACATTATTTAATTTCAGTATTTGCAAAGGATGTGAGGAAATTATGTACCAACACATTGGGTAGCAGAAGCTGTGGCCAATGTATTAAACAACATCCAGATTGTGCATGGTGTCTTGATCCGGTTAGCTTATTGCTCATCAATCTTTTGCAAATTAAAAATAAAACAATTTTGAAGGAATTTAATGAAGGAATTAATAAATTTAGGATTTTGTCAATAAAAGTATACATTCAAATACAATTTGAAATTTTCAATTGCTGCAAAATTATGTATAGTTAGTTCAAAATGCTAAGTACAAATGAGTTAAAAATTATATGATTACTTTTTATCTTTAACATGATTGACTTTCTGATAGACTGATACCTTAATTTTGTGTAAAAATTAGTTATTAGAAAAAAAAGTAAAAATAAGGAAATTTTGAATTATGTCAAGTTGTTCTAAATATGAATGAGATTAGAGCTCAGGAATGCAATAAGTTTGATTATCCAGGTTTAAGTCAATAAAACTTGCTATGCTTTTCGTCAATTAGCACGGCAGAATGGAATTTAAATTAACAAAAAATATTTTCAAAAAAAACCTTAAGGGAATATTAAGATTAATGTAACCGTTGTGCATAAATATTTTTCTGTGAATTTTTTTTTCGAATTGATAATAAATTATGAGGAAGAAAAGTTTTGAAATATTACAGCATTTGGTAGGTCCATCACGATGTGATTTAAAATCTGAATTTCAAGGCAAATGCGCTCCATCGCTTATCTATTCACCGACTACAGAAGTTCGAATTGTACCGCAAAATGTAATATTTATTTTTGAATCTTTTTCGTTTAATCTAAACAAATTTTAGAACAATTTAACTAGTTCAGAAGCTTCAAGTTATGCAACTTCATTAATCATAGCAATTTATCCTTTTAGGTAAGGACAACTAAATTGCACTTTATAGATGAAAATTCGTGGAAATTTTCTATTACTGCAAAAATTAAAGACACTATGAAATTTTTTTTAATTTTTTCCAACTTATTTTTCTTGAAATTTTCAAAATTAATTATTGTTTTAGAATTTGCCATTAAGAAGTAAACAAGCAGATGGTATAACGATTGTACAACTCGAACCACAACAAGTTGTTTTGAGAATGAAACCTGGTAACCATAAATTTTATAATTACCTCGTATCCTATCTCATATCGCATCCAAATTTTGTCACTTCTATGAAATAGCAAAAAAAATTAGGTCTTCTCATGTGTAACTGATAAAATTGATCTATTTGAAAATACTATAAAATGCTAGAATTTGCATCTTCAAATTTTTTTTCACTCTCAGCTAAAAGAAGTTAATGCTATAATTATTTCTTTCAAATTCTCATTTCTCTCAGAAAAAAACTCTCATATAACAAAATGAACTTGGTTATTTTAAAATGTCAGTAATTTGACATACTTTTTTTTCTTTCATTCTTTGTTAGTTAGTAAATATCCTTTGTTTATTTGGTAAGATTTGAAAAAATAAGACGCAAATCATCCGATCATTTAGTCTTTCTCTTTGTTTTCCTCTTCCTTTGTCATGCTTAAACTTTATAATTCAATTCAAAAGCAACAATATATTTAGTTAGCAATAAATTGTCTATTATTATGCTCAAATTTGATGATTCAATTCAAATATTAGTGATAAATAGTTGAACAGTACAAACTTCACGTCGACAAATATTGCTAATTTAAAAAGCAGAAAACATTGCTTAATAAACTAAGTTGGAAAAAAAAAAACAAAAAAAAAGTGTGTGTGTGTGTGTGTGTGTTGTTTTTGTAAATAAATGCACTTTTAACATTTAAATAGCAAAATAGTGCTGAAGAAGAAGCATATAAACAAAGTAGCAACCAATTATCATTGCTGTGTAAAAGAAAGTTAAACAAAATTTCCGAGAATGAAAAAATTTTAGCAGTTTTGAAAATAATGTTAAAAATGTTCAAATTTCAAATTCCATGTCACAACTATAATCACCATTTTATTATCGCTTGATCAACTTATCTGATCGAACAAACATATGTTTTTGTAATTGTATGCACTTTTTGAAAAATTCTTATCACAACAAAATGGTTCATCATCAAAAATGATTTAAATTTTGTATATGAAGAAGTATATATGAGAAGAAGTAAGAAAAATTAAAAAGAATTTTATTGATGAAAATTTAAAATTTTTATTTCTTAGGGTTAGACGTGATAAGTAATTAAGCAATTAGTAATAATTATTGAATCAAAAACAACAAACTAGTGCATTCCTCAGCATTTTCTTATAGTTTATGCTAATCAAATAATAAAATACTACAAGTTACTCCGCTAATTATACTCACTTAATCAGTTCTTTTCCTCTCATCTTTCCAATTAATTATTTACCTGATTTATTTACCTGTACTGCAAAAGTGTTGAAAATCTTCCATCACAAGTTGCACTAATCCATGGTGGTATTACATTTCTTCAATTTCGTCTAGTTTTTTGCCTTTGCTATCCAATCACAACCAATACTATAAAATATAATTTCATGACACAATTCATTTTCACAATTCATTGTTGTGAATTTTTGTAAATCTTTGAAATAAAATATTTCATTTTAGGCTATCGCTTTACTATCACTCACCTATTTCTCTATTAATGCCTTTTTAAATCCATCAAACTTACAACTGTCTTAATTTTTGTTCCAAAACTTAGCAAAATTACACTGTGTGATTGCTTTCTCTATCAAAATGATTCTTTTTTCCCTTTTTTTTTTCAGGTGATGTAATGGAAATACCATTCAAATACCTGCACAGGCCACAGCAATCAAGTCAGCGTGATTTCGTTATACAAACCAGCAAGTTTCGATCATTGGGTGTTGATATCGACTTTTCCATTCTTTGTGGAGGGTATATTTTATTAAATTTGAAATTTATCAAATATGTAATTATTAAATATTTCTTAAAATATTAGTTTACATTTATATCTTCTCATTTGTACATTTATTTAAAATGAAACTACTTTGCTTTTTTATTTCAAACTATTAATTGATTCAATTTTTGAATTTAAAAAAAGGTTAAAAATGTATTTTGCAGCAAGCGAGTACAAGGGTGGCAATGTCCAAATGTTTCGATAGGTGATCAAATCGAATTTTTCGCTAAAGTATTCTTGAACGAGTGCAAATCAGGAGGCGATATTGCGGTTTCTATTGGCGCATATGGTTATCAAACCGTTTCTGCTATGTATATCACACCATCATGTGGTTGTGAATGTGAAAAAGTGCAGAATCAGGTTATTTTATGGATACATTATATCTTTTCCAGATGTATAAAGCAGTTTTAATGTTTTACAAAAATTTTTTTTCAAGCAGAATATAAAATTTTAAGTAAAATTCTCTCATATTATTTAAGCGAATTTTTCAAGGAAAAGCTATCACCATTATGTTATGGCGCAGGTGATTTAATTTGTGGTGTATGTGAATGTCAACCAGGTAAAGGTGGAAATCACTGTGAATGTGACTTAAAGCAGCACAGCGCCTTATCAGCTCAGGAATTGGAAAATAGATGTAGAAAGTAAGAATTGATAATTATATGATTAAATTTTAATTCAAATAAATAGAATTTAAAGGAGTTAAAAGTGATATTATAATATTATGCATACTTTAAAAGATATTTTTATTCATAGAAATTCAAGTTAATTTATAATTCATACCATAGCATGATAAATCTCACCAAATAGCTTGATAAGATATCATTCTAATAAATTAAAGTGGAAAAGATTAAAGCAAACGTTTATTATCATTTTAGAACTCCGAAAGATTTAGTTTGTAGCGGTAATGGTCAGTGTAAATGCGGTAGCTGTGATTGCAGCGTCGAACACGTAAGTGTATTTAGCGTTTTACTAAATCAATTTTACCCAATACTAACTTTAGAATTATGTCTATTATTTGAAAAAGAGTTGAGATACACCGAAATTCCGTTATATACGCTGAATACGTAGGCATGGACAACTGATTATCTCTATTTTTTTGGAATTTTAAATTTATTTATTTGTTAAAATGAAAAAATTTTCCTTTGACTGCAGTATTTTTAGTTGAATTCAAAATTCGACTTTAATTTCGAAATTTAAAAAGATTTAAATTCGAATACAATAATAAAAAATATAATACAATATTTATTATACATTGATCTACATATCGATGCAATGCAATATGAGGAAACTTTTGCAGAATTCAGTTATTATAGGTTCGTGGAGATCATTGCGAATGTAAAAATATGTCATGTCCAACTTCTAATGACAGAATGTGTGCAAGCCAGGGTGAATGCAAATGTGGCAAATGTCATTGTGAAGAAGGTTATGCAGGTGATGATTGCTCGTGCACTCTCGATACTTCTTCATGTCTAGAAGGCGGAGTAAGTTTCAGGAAGAATTGTGAAAATTTTTTATTTTATATTAAAAATTTTGCATATGCGTTTTTTTTTTTTCAAATTATTTATATGAAAAAAAAAAATTTATTTTTGTGCAAATGTTTTATTTTCTATAGTATGAGCGTGTGTGAATCAAATTTTCTACTTATTTCTTTATTGTATCTGTGTTTAACTTTTTTTCCTGTGGATTTTTTTAAAAATTTAGGATGTAAACTTTATTATCAACATTTCACTCTTTAATTGTTTAATGTAGCTTATCGGAATTTTTGTTTTTCTTTTTCCAGAAAATTTGCAGTGGACAAGGTAGCTGTGAATGTGGAAAATGCGTTTGTTATGAAGGTTTCACAGGATTAACTTGTGGAGTAGTGGCTGAAAATGAGGCATTAGATGATGAAATGCCTGAATCGTCTGATGGTGAGATGGATGAATCCTCAAAAATGATGTAAGCAAAGTCGGATATGATCAATTTCAAGAAGAGAATTTAGATGAGGTAACTGAAAATAAGGTGAAGGAGGGCGAAGAATATGCTGAAGCAACAGAAGGATGTGAAATGGATGGTCAAGAAGGTATGAAAGGTGTGAACATAATTCGAAAATTTAATTATTAACTATTTCTATTCTATTTGTATTGTTTTGTTTTTTGATCAGAAATTTAAAAAAATTAATGCATGAAAAAAATCAGCAAATTCGAAAAAAAAGGAAAAAACAAAAAACAAATGAAATTATTATTAAGATTGAGGTTAAGATTTTAAAACATAATAAAAGGATGGTATTTTCAATATTACATTTTTTTCGAACCATTTTTTTTATAGCTGGTGAAACATTGCTATCAGTGGATGATGATACTGGTAGTACATCAGCTGAATTAACTGAGACAAGAGTTGAAGCTGGTGACAGCAGTAATGATGATGATGAAGGACAAACTGCTGGTTGCTTATGGATAGAAATTCATTCATTAATTTTATTAATATCATTAATGATGCTTTTTTGGCCTTAAATTCCATCGCTTTATTATCAAATAATTTCTATTCGAAATTGATTCTCAACTCAACGATCTTTCAATATCCTAGTCTGAATTTCCTTTCATTTATTGTTAATTTAAATTTTTAAAACAAAATGCTTTTATTTATTTCATTCCATCAGCAGTAATTAGTTAAAATGATATAAACGAGGAAGAGAAGGTCAATCATAAACATTTCGATTTTTTTTTTTTTTTTTGAAAACTAATGCATGAATGTCTCGCTTCCATTATTTTACATTAATCTTTCTCACATATACAAATGTTTAGTGCGATTTTGTCCTTTGCTTTTTTAATTTTTCTTTTTTTTATTAAATATACGGTGAAAAATTCGTCATTTTTCATTTTATTGAAATATGATTCGCTGAAAAACATTTGCTTTCATTAAAAGCCATTTCTATTTTCAAAAGGAGATAAATGAAAATAGTTTGCATAATAGCTGAAAATGATTGGTTATCAAAAAGGATTATAAATTTGGTCCATTTTTTCACTTTTTCAACAAATTTGAACAATTCCAAATTAGCATTATCCTCTTAAATCTCAGAGTAATCCTACAAAAACTGCCTTTTAGAATCATAATTTTCAATTGGCATTTCTTGATAATAGCTTATTCGTTCTGCTTTTTTCTCATACTTTATTGTTGTTTCGGAAAAATTTGAGGACAAAAATGGCTCATTTTAGATTATATTTGGAAATTTTTTAAGTGGTATAAATAAGCTATTTGAATTGGATGTGTCATATTTGTCATCTTGAATTTTTTTCGTTCTTGATGATAGCTGCAATATTTTTAATGATTATCAGTTGTATTTCTAATTTCTCTAACTTTTGAATTTTAGTTTACAATTTGACACTTTTTCTCCCACCAATAATTATGCTTTTTGTATGATGTTTGCTAAATTTTCCAATAAGTAAAAATGTTAAAATAAATATAGGATGCGAAATTCCTTATTTGTGATTAAATATTTACAATTAATTTTTTTGGAACTGTCACCAAACCACGATTATTTGACATTCTTAACATATCAAATAATCAACAAATTCATCAAATGACTATTTGGTATTTAATTGCTTTATAATTTGACTTTGGCATACAAATAGTATTGGACTTAGATAATTATTGTGCGTATAACTAATTTTTCATGTGCCTTTCTTGCTTTATCTTTTTTTCAAAAATAAATGAAAATTCAAATCTTTTCTTTAAAATTTTTGTAAAGATTCCATTTTTTTTTTTATAATAATGAATTTCTGTTCTTTTTTTTAAGTTTTAAAAATTATTCATTTATTTCTAAACAATTTTACATGAGACATTTTCGATTTTATGTCTCGTTTTAAATGCTGTTTAATTTGAAAATCATTATGATTCCTTTAGCTAAGATCGAAAATACAATGAAGATTTTTAGCAATTCATAAATTTAAGAATATTATATTTGCAGTGAAGTGCTTATACTTAAAAATAAAACATTATATCATTCTATTGATACCCCACATGGGTTTTTGTCTTAAATTACGCATTTTTTTTTTTCTATCAACAAATTACCACTTAAAGTTCGATCTAATGCTTATTTACTTTGTTTGGAGTATTAATTTATACCGTATAAAAGTTTTTGCTTAAAATACTCAAATACTGAAAATTTGTTTCCCACTCACATTAAAATTTTTACAATATTGATTGAAGATTTCTAATTAATACAATTTCCGATTTCTTGCTCTCACTCAATGGAGTATCTTCATTATCTCGATAAAAATCATATATAATTTAAGATGCTAGGCCTCATTTTATATCTTAACATATGTTGTCATGAAAGGTTGTCTGGTTGATATTTATTGAATAGTTGCAATACTTCCTATGGGAAGATTAATAAACCTTTATTTTTCTAGAACGTAATGTTAACAAACCGAGCAATAAAAAAAGTGAAGAAATTTATAAAAGAAGACCGGAGGAATTGAAATTGGTTAACCGAGTAGTAATCGACCTTAAAGACAAAAAATAATTGTAATTTTTAGGATTGAATTTTATATGAGTGGTAATTGGGCGTGTCTAAGATAAAAGTGTGAAGAATCGGAAATGTTCATGAGAATTGAGAATTTATGATATGAGATTACATGTGTAATAAACCAAAAAAACTAGATTTAAAGAGAGATAATTTAAGATACTATAAGATTGTTTTACAATGTCTGAAGAGTTGGAAGTGTCTAAAAAAAATTGAGAATTTACAATGTGAGAATTGAACGTATCTATGATGAAAATCACATGTGAAAAATCTTAAGAAATTAGATTTATGTAGAGATAATTTATGATATTATGGGATTATTTTTAGATAGGAGTTTTCGCGAAATTATAATTCGCGACATATGTCGCATAAAATTTTTTTATTTTGTTCCAGCGCTATGAGTAACACACAAAACGATGAATCAGTGTTCATAAAATTGACATTAATTCTAATTTCAGTTAATTAATTAAGATGAAAACTTTTAAAAACTAATTCTACTTCTAAAAAAAAAAAAATTTTCAGATATTTTCTAATTCTAAAAAAAAAAAATTCTAAAAAAATTTTCTGATATTTTGATATTTTTGCCTATGTATAAACTTAAACCATAATTTTGTGCATATATCTCAAATAAGGTGAAGGATTTTATTGTGTTATTCTAAAAGAGAGAAAGAGAGATAAAAAGAGAGGTGAAATTTTTGATGTCGAAAAGATTGAAGCCATTGTCCACTAAGGAAAAGAATAATTCAACAACAATAATTGTGAAATATCACAGCGATACAGGAAATGCGTAGAGGAAGAAATTAAGGACTGAAATTATAAATGTCAAACGACCAATATTCCATCTTCTCTTTAAATTGCAATAATCAACCTTTAAATTGCAACAATTTGAAGTCATTTCATTATATATATTATCATCGTTCAGTAATATAATTTTCGTAAATTTGATTAATAACCAATCACTAAATGGGTATTAAAATTTCTCACTGATATGAGAATATATTTCTGTAATACTCTGTCTTCCAAATCTTTGTTCCTTTGTAACATTCAATTTAAAATGAAATCAAAACTTTATGATATGGATTAAGCTGATATCTTCATATCAGTGATCAGTTTTGATCCATTCCTGCAAATGTGTTAACTGAAATTTCTTAATATTGAAAGATTATTTCATCCATACAAGAAGTAGCATAAGTTTAATTTTCGTGTCACATTTTCTTCATCATATCATATCTACTATGTCACATTTTAACTATTATATGGTACATTTCATAGCAAAGTATAGGATTTCATCAAATAAAATGTAAAATTGCATACTTTTGAATAAAAACATAATTAAAATGTCTTCAATTTTCCTGCTTGAAATAGCAATTTTTATTTTCATTGAAAATGTAATAAAAATTATTCCTAATATCTTCAAGTTATTACGGTTAACTCTTTAAAATTTTACAAGTTCATTATCGTTTCTAATTATTTATGAAATTTTTTGCCGCTACTTTTTTAGAATTTTAAAAATCTAGTTTTAGAACAAAGCAAATTTTGATAGAGTAAAACTAAAATTAGAAGTTTTAGAACTTACAAAGTGCAAAGCAGTTATGTAGTGATCGAATCACTCTAACATGAAATAAAGTGTAGAAGTTTTGTTGAATTAATAAATACAACCAAGCAACCAATCCATAGGTTTGTCAACATTGAATTGATTACATATCCTTTTATTGTCACACAATGTCTTTCGATTTTATTTTACTTCACTGATTTATTGTTTGTGGTCAGTTAAAGTTAGAGAGGAAGAAGTGATTAGAAAACTTTTAGTTCTGATCAAAAGAGAATAATAAACTCAAATATTTTCTTTTAATAATGAAATTTTTGCTAAAACCATCGTTTTAAGACTTTCATTTGCAATAACTATATCGTTCTATTCAAAAATTTCATTTAAAATATTAATATAGCTAATTGACTGTCACATATTATATTTAAAAGTTTTCATTAGAAACATCAAGGATTGTTTTTCTTTTGCTATTGCAGCAAAAAAATTATCTTTTTTTCGTGCACAACGAATAAAACTTAATCAAATTAAATAAACGTCAAATAAACTTTTCTTGATATAAATTCCAATTTTAAGAACAACTAAAATAAGATAAAAATGTAACCATTTTATTGTTTTTATATGTAAGTAATAAATAAGTAAGCTTCTAATTATCAGTTTAATATTAATTTCATGAATTGATAACTTTTGAGAATGAATTATGATACGTTAATATAGGACATAATTTGAATTAGAAAAATATTGGTAAAGTAAGTTTGAAATAATAATCAATATGTTTGAGCATTTGTATTATTTAAATGATGCTTGTGATGATTGGCTGGTTGGTTTGGTTGGTTGGTAATGAATTGTGTTGTTTACAAAAGCGGAGAGTTGGGTCTTGAATGAAATGATTCAATTTTGCATTGAACGGAGTGCTTGTCCTTTGCTATTTTCTACTCATCCTCAATTCTCTGCAAGAAATTTATTAAAAATTTATGAATTTTTCAATTTTTTCCCTTTAAATGCTAACAATCATCATCGCTTGCAATGACACCACTTCAAAATTCCCTTTCCTATCATTCATTACACTATATATGTATAATTAAACTTTCAAAAATATTGAAGAAATTTTTATTTTGTACAGTTTTTGCAGAAATAAATGATCAAATAAGCCATTCACTAATAACTGATAAGCTAGAGCGGTCGTTAATAGTAAAATTAGAAAGATAAGAAATGACGCAATACGATTAAATTCTTTGATCGTACATATCCATCAGATCTTTAAGTTCACTTTTCCACTATGCTTTCTATTGCAAATTAATTTAATTATAGGTGATTTCGATTCATTTATTCATATTTTTCATTACAGATTTGCTTTCATTTCTTCGAGATGAGTATTAATTACTTCATAGAAATAGTTTACTAATTTGTTTAACCTTTTTTGTTTAAAGTTAAATAATTTTCAG